AAAAAAAAAAAATCTCTATAAAAGTACTCTTTATATCTTGCTTGGGCACATTCAGGGCCAAAGGCCTCAGCTCAATTCTCACTGCCAGAGCAGTGAGCRGACTTGGCGAGGCTGTAGCATGGCACAAGAACCTCCTCCCACCTGAGAGTGCAGGAAGGGAGCAGTGGGCAGCAGGACTGATTAATCCATAAGGAAGTCTGGGAGAGGAGGAAGCATTGACACCCACACCTCTTTGTTCTGAACAAACTCGTGTTTGCTGACCATTTGATTTTATACCTTGCTCTTTCTTGGTCAATAATAGAGCATTAGAATGATGCAGATACTCATTTGACCAAATTAAACAACCAAACTTTCAGCAGTCTTAATACAAATACCAGCAGGTTAAGGTAACAGTCTTCAAAAGCTTTCCTTGCCKTTTCCATTATAAAACATCAGAGGTACAGTACAGGTGTGGGTTAGGGAGGATATTTCTTTGTGTTTTCCCCCCCAATACCAGAATGCTTCATAAAACCAATTCTAAGCTTTCAAAAATAGAGTTGCAGGCAGAAATGGAGGCCWCTCCCTTAAAGCAGCAATTTAGTACTACACAGTCTTCAAGAAAATCCAAGTTTTACTACTGTGAGATTAAATCTTTTTGTGTATTGATCTATTTTAACGTGGCATGAGTAGCACAAAGTCCACCTACTCAAACCCTCTAGACACTCTYTGGTTCTCCTGCTTCATTAATTATAATTGCCTGTTGATGACAGCTACACACACACTGCTTTTTATGTGAAAAGACAATTCTATTACCAAATAACCACACATTCCTAGACATATTGAGATGTCATAACTCAATTGTCCTCAAAGGAAAGAAAGCTAGATCGATGGAATCTACAGAGTAAATATGACACAACTAGGAAAGCCTTTTTGCTCAAAATAAATCTAAAGAACTCCAGTACTCCTATGCATGAGTAGCATCTTTCCTTAATGAATCTGAGTTACTATATGGATGACAAAGAACCAGGTAGCAAGTTGGTTTCTTTTCATAAGAATAAATTAAAAAATCTCCATATTTGAAACACATCTGTTTTGAATTAATTTTAAAGTTGTACCTATGGAGAAAAATATAAAGGCATGTATTTCCCATCTACTCCAATTCTGTTCTGTATAGCTGTTCCTCTACATAAACACATCCACTTGCATGACTGATYTTCTACACCCTACTGAGACAATAAACAAGCATAGTCTTTCAAATTCACACTTGAAAATTAGATGGCAAAATGTGCATGTCCCAAAAAGGACAAGACTGCCTCCTTAATGGTTTATGAAGTGAAAATCATACTTCTCCTTCTTACCACATACTCTTCCATGTCCCTGTAATTGCTCACTGAGCACCACTGCCCATATTCTGAATGTTATTAGCAGCAGACAACTTCACAACTACTGAGTTTGATTCAACATCTCAGATGAACACAACTAGGAAACCAGCGTGATGAGCATCACTCTAACAATCATAAAGCAGCTATAAAACCACATTTTTATGTGCACTGCAATGTTACTCTTAGTCATTAAGGGAAAACGAATAACTAAAATGTCACAATGCTCAACTGATATGTCTGGATATTTCATCAGCTGGACCAATGTGCAGTAAAATACAAGGAAACCAGACTGTTGGAGTTTTAATGGTTTGAGTAAACCTAGCTGTTCAGTAGCAAAGCTCATGCCCAGTGAGCTCAAAGATGTAGACTCCTGACGCTTTTCCAACTTCTCATTTTAAAGTAATTAGCATTCGCTGTGCATGCACATGAATGAGTACATTGCAAGAGACTGGAAAGGCTGCCCACTTGTTGCAGTAGAAAAACCCACAACAATTGACTGAATAAAGTTCTATCACAATTGATTCAGAGGGAAAAAAAATGCGGGAGTTAGGGCAGGAACAGGCGGCAACATCCTCGGCTCCCTGATAAACAGAAATCAACATTTTCAATGCGCTCAATTAGCAGTGTTTTAGGTCTGTGTCAGATTCCTCATCAGAGCTAATTGATTTCAGGCACAGGCCAATCTCACCAACCAACATTATTATGCAGAGGTAGGTGGTGAAAAGGAAAATAAATCTCTGATTAAAGAAGAGCATGAGGGGGAGGCACACCATTTACAAGCTGCACACACCATTCCCTCTCAGAGAAATAACAGTGTTTTAAAACATTCTGAAGGGTTGCTTCACAATCCAATTTCATAGGACTGCTCTGGAAGCCTCAAAATTGGGCACATGACATTGGACCAAGCCATGTGAAAAGGCATACATCTTTACCTCAGAAGAGAACATGGGGAGAGTTATGTTTCCTGACTTCCCTGCTCCCCCTTTTACTCCCACTCACAAAGCGTGTTCCAGGGCAATAGAGGAAACTGTGAKAGTACATAGGATAATATTTTAGAAAGCAAAAATACTTATCACAACCAGCTAGCTGAACTGCAGTGTGAATGCACAACTCTGTTGGTGGGAATAGTTGAAGTCAGCACTTGAGAGAAGAAAGAGACGTGTGCTCCTGTTCTCTTGGCACAAACAGCATGTTGCCAGCATGGGAAGCAGCTTTCCCAGCCTGAAGCCCACACTGGAGTCCCATGGGATAAAAGGCTGGAAATGTCCCTTCTCTCCCACTTCTTTACACATGCAGTTAGTCGCCAGGTTTTGTGCTGAGCTAAATTCTATATTTATATTCATTCTAACACTTTGAAACTTGACTGACTTCCATCTCAGTCCCCAGAGCTACTTTCAACAAGCTAAAGCAGAGCAAACTGGCACGGCTGGCTCCATGGACACTGACATTAATCAGCCCACAGAGCCTGCAAGTGCCCAGCTGCAGGCAGYAGCATATAATCATCAGATGATTATATTTTTAGCACCATCTAATTAAGCCCTATTTTCCTGGCCTTAGAGACAGCTATATGGTAGCTCACCTGTTCCAGCTTCACCTCATTAATTAGAGACCTTTTCTTTCACACAAGACAGGTGCTGCAGCCAGCAAGACCTTTCTGATAGAAGCACCACAACTATTTTGGGACAAGTCATGTCACAGACATGACAACTTTACTGAGCTCCCTAATGCTTTTCATGTAAACATGAAGAAATGAGTATCTGCCAGTTTTCTCTCTTTTTATTCCACAGATGATGTGCATATAATCTTAAAGAAGCAAATTCCTATTACATTTGGTATTTACTTCCACTCTATTATTGCTTGTTAACTGCTTTCTACTGCAACTATATTTTCACTTTTTTTTACTTGCATGTACTGAGAGTAAAAACTGCTTATAAACTTCATTTTAACAGACACTAAAGCTTTAATTACCCTTGCTTCCTTTCTACCTTTTAAAAACGCATTTTGGTCACATAATATTTATTCACACTATCTTAGCAGCAACAACAAGAAAGAAGTTTTAAAACCCTACACAGCTGTGATAAGTAGCAGTGCCACACAAATTTGCTGCCTCGCTGAACCACAGAAGCATTGCCATGTTTCTGCTTCAGACCACAAGTGAGCAACAACTGTTACCACTTTATCTTGGTACAATACTGCTGACTGCCTCAATTAAAGTATTACATTCTTTATTTAGACACCTCCTGCAGCCCCAACCAGCACAGCAGATGAGCACTTTTGACAGTTGCTACTCATATCCCAACACWTTTTCCCCAGCTTCTGGGGAGGTGTATAGTAAGTGGAACATGRTTTTCATCCAAATATATATTCTACRTATATTCCACTTCTTTTTCTAGATCAGTGAAAACAAGAAGCTTCCCTGAACATTCACTTCTTTGCCCAAGAAAGTCGTGTAGCAGGTAACTACTCTGCAGGCAGATTAAYGATAACGACACAACGCTTAGAGAAACGTACATTAAAACACACAAAAATAATCAAATAGTAACGCTCATAATTTAACTCCTCCCTGACCCGCTCAGCAGCCCCCCATCGCAGTGCTGCAGGTTATATCACCTGGGTCACTGGTACATGCCTGATTAACGTACCTTTTTTATGCACTTGCTCCGGCACAAAGGTGAATTAGCAGCCTGTTTGAGGTACCTTTTTATGTMCTCACACTCCAACACAAAGGTGAATAACCAGCTGCCAGCTTGCAGCCTGCTCCAGAGCCGTGTGCCGGGCCTTCTGAGGCAGCACCCTCGGGACGGGGAGCCCAGGCCCCGGGGCAAAGCCTCACTTACCGGTGACGATGGCCAGCCCGGGGCCACCAAAAGCCAGCCTGGAGCCGCCGGTAGCCAGCCCGGGGCCACCAAAAGCCAGCCTGGAGCCGCCGGTAGCCAGCCCGGGGCCACCGAAAGCCAGCCCGGAGCCGCCGATAACCAGCCCGGGGCCGCGGCTCGCCCACCCAGAGCTCTGCGGGCCCCAATGGCCCCGGGCCCTGACCGCCCAATGCGCCTCACCTGGGCCCCACCCCGGCCCTCCCGCTCTCTGCCCACACAAACCGGCAGCACACGGGTCCTGCCCCGGGAAAACCATCYATTTCTTGGAGTCTTAAAAATGGCCTCTGCGGAGCCCTGGAGAGCAAGGAGCCAAAGCAACCCTCTGCCTTGAGGGAGCGGACACTATTTCCTTTCCTCCTCCCCAGGTGCTGCTCCCAAACTACATAAAGGCAGCAGTCTCTTGGAATAAAAACACTGTAATCCATTCGGAGCATGGAAATTCAAAATACAAATCAGTTTGTGCAATACATCTTTATTTTAATTTTATTTTTTTAACCTTTGCAGTCATCTTGGAGTAATCATCATGTAAACAGTAGGATGGGATGGGATTACATTGAGTTGTATGCAAATGGTTCTAGAACACCTCAACGATTATGGCAAGGCATTATAAATAACTTCTCTTAATAATATATATTTGCCATTTTCAGTACATTAAAGAGCTGCCACTTATCTAGGATTAACTAGGAAGTAGTTTAAATTGTAACCTCTGAGAAACACATCTCCAAATGTGGAAGTCTTTCTAAGGTTCCCTAGCTCCATAACATCTACGTCACAGGTTAAGCAGAAGACTACTTGGGTTGAAGTGTTTTCTTTGTAACAGAGTTTTAATTGATCATTGCACAAAGCCCTATTATTTTCACTCCACCTTGGTATTTTGCAGAACTTCAAATAAAGCTTCATTTCCATTCTTCAAGTTTTATTCACCTGTATGAAACCGGTTTCTATCATTCAGAGTAAGTCAGATCAGAGATGGACACAGTAAGCATTCCACCTTAACAACAGTTCAAAGTAGCTCTAGCTCATAGACCCCCCAATAAAGCATAGTCAAAATAACACCTTTGCTACTGTATATCCCCTCCGTGCTCAGATAACTATATATATTTATATTTATTGTACCATATGTATGGTACTTTAGAAAATGGAGATTATTTATATAAGCAGCCTCAGGCACATTCTTCAAACATTAATATCTGCAAGGCACCTCCCACTCCCCTGACAATCAGTTTGTGGACTGGTTTTTTGACACACAACCAACAAAAGCTTGCTAATGTTGAATCAAATAATTTCAAGAATTTACCAAATACTTCAAAGACATACCCGAACCTTTTTTAATAGTGGGAGATTAACTGCAAATAGTATATAATCAGGTCAAATCATTTTCTTATTMCTAGTATGTGTAATGCATAAATATATGAAAAATAAAATTCACAGTCATTTTTAAAACTAGAATTCAAGTTTGGCTAATAATTCTAAACTTTTATATGTATGTTAATTTCTAAATGTAACAGAATAGAGGCAATATTATCAACCACAAGAACAGGTAAAACAGTATCACTCAAAGTCTATGAAAGAAGTAATCTTGATAGAAAATTCCTTTTGGAACCAATAAATACAGCCACCTGAGTGCATTTCCACAGGCTTTTCATTTATGGGGAATCCAAATCAACTGCTAAGAGACATTTAGGAGCATTGAATGTTAACAGCAGCAGTGTAGCTGTGGGCTTTGCTTGTTCTGACTTTGTGAATTGCTAGATAATGAAGCAGAACTCAGTGTGTGGTGCATTAATTTTCCTTTGCATCTAAGCTGGCCTCTTCGCAATTTCACAATTCGGCTTGGGGTCAAGGGACAGACATCAGCTGACACTTAACTGAGCAAAACCAATCAGTTTCACTTCATCAGGAATCTCAGTGCCATCACAGCCAGAGGCCTGCAAGTACAAACAGAAATGTTTAGTATATCATGCTACAAAGGAGCATTTGACAGCCAGAATATAATTTTTCCCCGTATTGCCCAGTCAGCAAAAAGCTTCGTTGAAGGAAAGCTTTCAGACTGCTTCATGTAGCCTCTGTCAGCACCAACCAATTGCATCCTTAATTTTAGCAAATTCTTTTAATCAATATTAAAAATTATAGAAAGAAACGCTGCAAAATGGACATTTAAATACCCAAATTCTTTAAACCAAACTTTCCAGGCTGGAGCCAGATTTGCTTCTTTATGGGAGGAAATAATTTCAACTCATGAAGAGTACCTAATATACATGTATAGAATCCACTTTTTACCACTGTGCTGTACRCAGCAAATGTCTCATGAGTCCAGCCATCAAGTTAGTTTGGAATACYAACCAGCTGAATTTTTAAACAAGAAATTGAAGCTGTCTACAAAGAGTAAATACTAATATTTGCAAAAGGACAGCTCCCTTCTGACAGTACAATTTAGTACTTAAAAGTGTATAATGTAGATTCTTCAGTAAAGCCTGTCACAATACAAATGGGCACAAGAGATCAGTTCACATATAACAGAAAGGAAATAAAACAACTTTGCTCAAGACTAAACTTACTTTAGATCTGTTTAAAAAAATGCTGGAGGCAAAATATTTCAGTATTTTGATTTTTAAACACAAAATTTGCTTTTATAGGACAAAAGTGACGACATTTTCAATAAAGGATTTTACATATTTTTAATAGGAACTAGTGAGGGAAACCCAGGTCAAAAGTATCAGGAAGAAACTAAGGTTAAAATTTAACCTCTAGAATTGCTATCTATTCCAGTGTAACTTTACTTACCTTAAGCAGGGACAAAAACATTGATTTTGGATTGTCTGCTAGTTCTGATTATGGTAAGGAGCAGGATGATAGCAGCACTCACTCACTAGGATCAGGAATACTATGTGATGTTGACTGCACCCCAGCAATAAATCCAACTGAATCACCAAAAACTGGGAAAAAAATAGCCCAACCTAAATTTTCAAGTGGATTTGTTTTCAACATATAACCTAGATACTATGGGATATTGCATTTTGGAATCACAAGCCTCTATTTTAAGTGTGGGAACGAGAAACCCAGACTTCTGCAGAGCCTCTGGAGTATCTATTATCTAAATGCTCTTGGTGAGATGCCATTTACTACACAATGAAGCCAAGTCAGATGTTCAGATCAGCTGCAGAAAGAAAAGCATTACCCTTTAGGCTATATTTATAGCAAAGGCYAGAGAAACAAAAGAATTTGAGTTACATGTCTTTATTCCCCAGCCCCTCCTCACAAGGAATGTGAAGATTCTGGAATTTTACTGGATGGAATGAGAAAAATTAGTTCAAATGAGTCAGCTAAAACTCCTCAAATCTGTATAAAGAATGACACGGGAAGAAGAGCCCTGAATTAATTACATCATCATCATCATCATCAAGGTCTAAACATGGCTCTCTACAGCCCATCTTTTCTAAACAAAGCTGGAGATCTGCTTATCTAACAGACATTCAGTCTAGTCTTCCATGTRAGATTGAATCACTCTCAGCAAAAGGTGCTGAAATCTAATTGGTATTTACATGGCTAATAATTCAACAGCTTCAGGTATAAAAATTTTTCAACTTAATTTTAGCAAGAAATAAAAAYAAACACAGCACATCAACTCTGCCTCAAGTTTTTGCAAGGTAAAATATTGAATATTAAATTAGATCTATCAYGCTATGATCAAAACTGACCAAAATYAAGGACCCATAGTCCAGGGCACAAAATGAAGCCCAGAAAAGAGTCCCAAGCCCAAACCCAGGGTCTGATGACATAGATACAGAAGACAGAAAGAGGTGGGGAAGGAGAAACAGGAATGAAACACAGTGGGAGAAACATCAGCTTGCAGGTGTGGATTGTCAGCTGAAAGAAGGTTGAAAAGAACTGACAGGAAGCAAGCAGTGGAAAAGGTGACCTGTGTGCAAGAAAAATGGTGCCAGGTGTTGGAAAAAATGGGCTTGGAACAAAATGTCCATTAGGACACTTCAGCCAGGGTAGAGCTAAGGGGGTGGGGTGAAGAAACGTTAACTGAGCTATAACAGTTTTCTCTGCTTTACCTGTTTCTGCAATTCTTCCCAGGGGGGAATTTACTGCAGTTTCTCACCTAAACCTCAGATCTCCTCAGAACTCACATGACTAAATCTCCTTTCCCATGCAGTTATGGAGTTGTCACTGTGTGAATATTGTGATAATTTATTTGTTTCTTCCATTGATGCTTTTACTTACCAACTTAAAAGTCAATGTTTTCAAGGCCTTTGGATCATCTACTATCTTCTGTAAGTTAGCAGCAACTGTAAAAGAAATAGGAAAAAATATGATTTACAGAAAATTGCATTCAACTTGGCATCAGGCCTTTTGCTGGATCTTCCACCTAATCCTACACACGTCTGAAAACTACAAAAACCCTACTAATTTTCAGTTTAGTCTATTCCAGAAGCAATTAACAATCACAAAAATGCAAGTGCAAGGAAGATGGGAGAATCACACAGTCAAGACAAGCTGATGGCTGGCATGATTTATATCATGTTTCTGCTAATGCCAGGGCTACTATCAGCACAAGTTTCTAGCAGAAGGCTGAGCTCAGTGTGCCTTCTATCTGGCTTTATGAATGTGCTTCTGTTGTGCTTCTGTCCCTTTTCTGGGCTGGCATTAGCACCCCACAGACTCTT